TTTCTATTTTTTAATAATCATAATTCATTTTTATTAATAAAATTAAAGAAAGGATTAGTTTAAAAAATGTAAGAAAAATAAGAATATTAATATATAATAAGAGTAAGTCTTTCTTTTTTATTAATTAACATATATTCTTTATAAAAGTAGTATATATTAATAGTAATAATTGTTGAATTTATGAAAAATTTATTCTGCATTTTTATTTTGAAAATATACTTATAATATAATATAATTTTTATAATAATTAAATTTATTTAATAGAATATTAATAATTAATTTATACTATTTATATAGTTTTTTTTAAAATTTTATGTAAATCTTTAATTATTTATAATTTAATTATTTTTTTCTTTAATATTGAAATTTAAAACCTAAAGCAAATTATATTAAAAAATCTGTAAAAATCTAAAAAAGGTAAAATTATATTAAAACTATAAAAATAGTTAAATTTAAAATAGGTTTAAGTAAATAATAATGTTTCAGGCTAAACTGAAACCTTTAGGTAGACAAAACCTTTGAAATTTGATAAAATTAGTTTCATCATTGTTCAGAAAATCAAAATCTCTGATATATTTTTAAAATTCTGAAATGTCCTAAATTTCCAAAACCTCCATTAATATATATAACCCCTAAAATTTTAAGCTATCAAAACTTAAAAAAGAAGTATTTGTAAATAAATATACCAATACATATAATTAACAGTTTTTAGTTTAGATGTGTAGTTTGTTAAACATTTTATTATATCAGGTGAAGATTTTTATTTTTAGGATATTATTATTTTATCAGATAACATACAACTACAAAAAGAAAAAAAAATTTAGGTGGTAGGTCGAAGTCAATTGTATAAAACACATATATTAAACAAAGTAAAAAATTATCTGAAGGTTATTATGAAGCTATCTGTCTATACTATAATACCTTTTGGTATAAAGGTTTACCTCAAGTTTTAGAGGTACATCTCACCAATAATTGTTTAAAAGTTCTATTAGAGATAAAACAGTTATTTTTAAACTGAGTTACTGAAAAAGCTGGAAATTCATAAAGCAAGAGACAAAAACTTGATAATAATAGAACTGAGCAATCAAAAATAACAGATTTTCATGAAAGTTCAAAGCTCTCTCTAATAAGAAATCATAAAATTGATCGACTTAACTTCAGCTCTGACCTTCTTTCAAGATAGACTAAGTATCTTAGAAAAAGCTCTTAGTATTAAAGTAATCATTCCAATGGAAGCTGAGGCATGTAATCAAATACTTTCTTCTGAAACCTCAATTGCAGAAGAAAAGTATCTTCATATCGATGCTTCAAACTGCTTAGCCTCTTTATAGAAGAAGACAAATAAACAACTCATTACCATTTGTCACTAACAACAACAATTTATTTTCTTATTCACTAATGTTATCAATAACCTTTCTAGTACTTGCGCTGATTTCTAACAAGTACTTCTCAACAAAGGTCTTCTAAGTTCTTATGATATTCGATCATTTATCCCCATCACTGATACTTTGGATAAACAAATTGAAAACTGCCTTGGTAACTTTCCATAATAATTATCTCATTAATGATGAATGCTGTCCCTACTGTAGAAAACATTGATATGATTACTACTTCACCCATACTAATTATTTATCATACATTAACATCATATATTATAATATCAGATACTTTTACAACTCAGCCAAATAGAATTATTTAATGTCGCTTTATACTACACATAATCTTGATATTATTAGCCTTCAAGAAACTAATTTCAATTCAAATATTTTCTTTATTTTCAATCATTTATTTTCAAAATTCACTTCATTTTTCAACACAAATTAGGAGAGCTAATCCAGCAGGATTGGAATCAGTCTCTTCTTTAGCAAGAAGTTAACCAAACATATTTTCAAATATGACTTGAAACTTAATTGTATAATTTATGTTAAATTACAGTTTGCTGATAAATAAAAGCTAATAGTTGTTAACACGTACTTTCTTTCTAACAAATGTGGCTCAAAGGATATTTGCAAATCAATGTAATCATATATCTTTTCACTTTTTGCAAAGGCAACCTGTAATTACTATCACATTATCCTTCTTAGAGATTTCAACGCAGATTTTGACTGCTCACAAAACCCATCTTATACAATCTAATTTATAAATTCCCTATCAAGATATAATTTATTTGATATTTTCAACATCATTTATAACACCAATCATTCATTATATTCAATATTTTCTCATTTTAATACTACATCATAAATTGATTATATTTGGATAACCTCAGAGCTGATATTAAATATCCTCAAATATTAAACACTACTGATAGATTCTTCGATTTTTGACCATTCAATAGTCATAACCTCAATGACTAACTTTTTGAATGTCTCAGTAAATAACAGTTGCAGTCTCCAAAAACTATTCTATGTTTATTCTTATATGGATGATTAACGATAGGCTAAATTTGCCATCAAAGTTGATAACATGACCAAATATAGTTCTCTCAAAGATCTTTCAAATACAACACTTTAAACACAATTCTTGCTTAATCAATCTTAGAATTTATTTCAAGACTCAGTGATTATTACTGCTAAAATATATATACTTACAAGCAAAGCTAGACTCATCTGTTATAAAAAATATCTTATAGGTCTCTCAACCATTTATAAAGATATCAAATTTCTGCATAAATTTAATAAATTGACCAAAAAATGCCTTGATGACATTTAAACGTAGTGATAATAAACCCTAAGCCTGATATAGAACACATTAAATCTGTTTTTTCAGATACTAAATTATTATTAGCAGGTCTTTACGTTGAAGCTAAACTCAAAGAACAAGCATTCAAGACTAAATGTATTCAAGAAGTCTTTTAATCTAGAATCGATGACTATAATGCGGATCTATCTTGAATGATCGACTCTATCTTAAATTGGAAAAGAAGAGTCATTACCCTCAATAGATATCTGGATAACACTAAAGTAGATAAACTATTATTGACTAATAATAATGACGTCAAAAATGAAGTTATTAAACATTTTCAACAAATTGCTAACAACACCTACAATGATAAGGAAATCCCTGAAGATTGAATTTCAATATATCAACTAATTGATGATATTGACCTAATTATTTACAACCAATTAACTTTACCATTATCAGCAAATAAATGGTATAAGATTATTGATTGTTTATCAAATGACAAAGCCACAGGTCCTTTATTAATCTCTAATGAAATACTCAAACACCTAGGCTCTAAAGCTAAAAAATACTTAAGGTTAATTATTTGTGAATATTTTCAGCTCTTCTCTATTCCTATGATATAAAATTTCACCTATATTTATCTGATTCCTAAGCCCAAACCCTAAAAGTTTGACCTTAATAACATTAGACCAATCCCGCTCTTAAAATGTCTAAGAAAAGCCTTTGTCAAACTACTCAATACTAGATTGGTCTTAACTTTTGTTTAGCACAATATTTTGAAAGGATCAAATTTCATTAGTCTGCCTTTTAAATTCACCTTCGATCCTATTCACATCTTTGACAGCATCAAACAAGATGTTATTTCCAATAAGTTTGAGTTATGAGTCTTCTTTCAGAATATGTTTAAGGTATATGACTGTGTTAATATTTTCACTTTAGTCAAGGCAATAGAAAGACTCAAAATTCCCTTCAATTTTATCTACATTATAATGAAAATTTTTATTTCAAGATTTAACAGAATTTTCACATCACATGGTAATATTGACCCTTATCTCGTATTCTCTGATATTGACCAAGAAGAAGTTATTTCACTATTATTGTGATGCATCTACTATAACCCCCTACTATATAGAGTCTAAAACTCAATACATGAATATACAATGAACTGTAGCTGGCGATTTGATATTCATTTATCTACTACTAATTCTCTTATAAAAAGAATCTCTACCTTAGTCTTAATGGATGATATGCTTTGGATCGCTAAATCAGCTAAAGACCTTTCTTCAATTATTAACATTGCCAATAGCTTCTATGCCTTTAATGATATATAGGTCAATTGGCTTTTGCCTCTTTTAGTTTTGATTTTCTTTACAGTATTCCTAACATTAATAACAACTTTAATCCAATTGATATCATGATGCAACTTGAATCCCATTGAATAAATTTTTGGTGTAGTAGTGGTTAAGCCCTCTTCTGCTCTTTTCATTTTATTTTCTCAAAAATGATAGTTTTAGCTTAGGTTATAATTGATTTGGAAAAGTACAGGATTAGTCTTTTTTAGATTAGTTTTTTCTTTTCTTTACGAGATTTTCAATTTTTCTTCTTGATTTGTATTTTATTTTTATATTATACTTTTATCATAATAAAGATTATGTAGAACTACTACACTTTAAAAAAAAAAAAATTATTTATTTTAATATAAAGTAAAGTACTTTAAAAATTTAACTAATTAAAGTTATTATAATATAAATTAATATAAAGCAAAAATTTCAATTTTAATGAAATGGTTTCTAGAACCCTATTTTCTAGTAAACTTCTTATATGTAGATCTAATTAAATTATTATTGATTAAAATAATATAAGTAATTATTATTATAATAAATAAATAATGTTAAATCTAATGCTAATAATTTATATAAATAAAATTTTATAAATATTATTAAAATATATTATTTTGGTCAATATTAAAATTTTTATAAAACTATTACTATAAGTATTACTAAATACTGAAAATATTATTTGAGATTGAATATTTAACCTTTTGCTAATATTTAATTTTATCAGGTAAATTAAAATTAAAATATATCAATTAATATTGATCAGTTTTTATGAAACAAACTATCATTAAAATTCTCTTGATAATACATCTAATGAGCTAGTTACCACCCATTTCTAAACACTAGATACTAAGGTTATCATAATTTTATTTTGAGATTAAATATCTAAACCTTCTGCTTTATTATATATTAATAATTAAATTTGAAATTTCAGACAATATAACTCCTTTTTTATGAAAATAATCACCATTAGATTCCTCATAATAAGACAGTTTTAATAGTCTAAAAGTTATTGATTGCAAATCAAAATTTTCCAATAGAAATAAAACATTGTATCTTTGAAAATCTAATTATAATATTTCATAAAAAAAATGTACCAAACGGTATCTTATTGTAAATGCTATACAGCTTGCTAGAATTTGTACAATCATGACAAAGATAGCTAATGTTTGTTCACGTAAAGGACCAAATCTTAGTAACAATAAGTTCAATAATGTAAAATTATTAATTTCAAGGTTATTCTCTCCAACTTCATTTATTTCAGCAAGACCAAATAACATAAATATTTTGAGCACAAGAAGCGTTAATGGCTTTAAGGGTTTTTGTATTTTGACTCTACTATATTCTAATTTTAGTGTTGATGGATTAAACCTTGAAGCGTTTTTTTATAGAAAGAAGGAAAAAAAGAATTTAGAATTTATCTCGAAATGACTTTTTAACATTATAAATAAATACATACCTAGGTAACCGATGGCGCGGACAATCTATTAATCTAAATAGTTGTGGACAAGAATATATGAAATTGAATACCTGCGGGATAAAAAAAAGAAGCATAGTTTTGCTAAAATGGGCAAGTATTCCAACCACAGCAAAAGTCATTCCAGCGAAATAACAGTACGTGTCACCAACAAAAACGCGTGATGGGTACCAATTATGAAACAGAAGTCCAAACGAAACACCAATAAACGGCAATATAAAATACAAAGAAAACAAATGTGCTTCCACAGCCGGATCGGCATCATTCAAGAAGAGAAGATCGTTGATGGCTATAGAACACGCAATTATCAAGGATTGACCTATTTCCACTCCATTTATTCCAGCAAGAATATTAATAGAATTTGTACAAAATATTGCAATCATACCCATGTATATATAATACAAAAATCCTAAAATAATAACGTGATTAGATGGTAAATCAAAAATAGTATGAACACGAAAGATTCACTTACCTAAATCCATAATTTTTCCAAAAACGAAGCGTAGAGGTATCGGTACCACTATGTGAGTAACACCAAAATTCACGTAATACACCATCAATATGGGTATAGAAGCGATAGCTGGCAACAACAGTTTATACCTCCATCTTATATCAAAAACATCATCGGCAAATCCAAGAAAAGTCATTGATTGAAGAGACAACATTGCCGACAAAAATTTGCCCAACTAATGAAAATAAATCGTTAATAATAAGAAACATAAAGAGTCTTAAGAATTTTTGGAAATACTTACTTTATGATGCGGGAAAGTTGGCACGTGAAATTCTTCACTTCGAGAAATTATACCTTTACCCGTAAACCATTCCATGAACGGAAACGGTATAAATAAGAATAGACATATAAGATAAACTGTTGCACATATAACTCCCATACTTTCGGGTCTTAAATAAATAATAGAATGAATGTGGTTAACTTGTGTCAAAATTATTTTGTAAATAAAATTTTTATATTACCCACATTTTTGGTTTATCGACTTTAGCCAAGTCCCGCCCAGTCAAATTTGCTTTGACGAAGCATTCTTTAAAAGCAGATACAAGTTCCCAGGTTATGGCGCCACCTAAAATAGCGAACCCTGCAGAAGCTGATAACGGATGAGTTGTATTAAATATTATTGTTAATGCAAGGACTATGAGTGATAATGAAGTTAACATTTTATAAAAGGAAAGGATTATAAATTTAGTTTATAGAAGTAAGCTATTTAAAGGTAATAACGTAATTCATTTAGTAGATCATTTTGCAACTTTCTTTATTAATCTATCAAATACAAAAGGGTGAAACTGGCGGAAAAAATAAAAAATGAGTTAATGTTAAATCTGAACAATATTTTGGCTTGCAGAGATTCTATAACTTAAATGACAGTTTTTTTTTGTTTTAATAAATAGTTATTTAAATATTAATATATTTGAATAAATATTAATATATTTGAATAAATATTAATAATTTGAATTATTTAAAATTTAAAAAAAAAAATTGATAATAGAATATTTTCTTTTTTAATATAATCTTCAATAATTTAAAGAATACTTTTAATATTTGTTTAATACCAATTGATTTTTATTTAATGCAAAAAATTTTTACATATCATATATTAATATATAGAATTTTATTAAATTTAACAACATATATTTTTTGTATTTATTCTTATTTATATTATAAAATTACATATAAATTATTATTATAAATTAATAATTTATTACATAAAAATATTTTTTGGTAATTAAAAAGAGCTATTTATAATTTTTTTTTTTAATTTGAATTTGATTAATATGTGTATAATTATATTCAATATTATTACATAAGTCATACTTATTTTAATTTTAACTACTAACAACTTTATTAAATTAATTTAAAATTTCTAAGAATCCTTTAATTCTTGCTATTCTATTTCAATATAACTTAATTATTTTTGTAATATATTTTTAAGTAAGATAATAAATAACTTATTATAAATTTTATAAATAATTTAAAATGTTTTATTATGATTAATAAATTTTTTAATATAAAATTTTTTAAAAATTAAAAATTTTTAGTTTATAAGTAATTTTTTATAAAATTAAAAAATAAAAAATTATTATGATATAATATATATTTATAAAATTAATTTAAAAAAATTTAATTTTTCATAAAATAAATTAGAGAAGAGCTTATAGTAAATAAATAAGTAAGTTTAGTTAAAAATTTTTATAATTTAATAGATAATAATATAGAAAAAATCAGATTCTAAAAAATTTTTGATTAAAGTTATAAGTTTAACATATTTTAATTTAATAACATCAAATTAAAATGCAATTATAATTTTAATTTTTTTAAAAAATTTATAAAATCTAATTTTTTAGTAATCAATCTATATCATAATTTATTAAAGATAATATTAATATCTATATATTTTACTATTTGATAAAATAATAAATTTTAATAGTTGATTAATAATATATCTTTAAAAGTTGACAAAATATTATTTGCTAAATTTTTAATGAATATTAAAAAAATTTTAATCTTAAATATAATTATTAGAAATATACTTCAAAGTAAATTGAAGAATTACTAATTAAAGTATATTTTGATAAACAAATTATATTTTGACAGACATAATTATTTTATAATAAATGTCAAATTGATATAATTAATTTTGATATCATTAAAATTAATTAGTATCAAAATATAATTAGAAAATTATATTAATTAAAAGCATAAGTTAAATTAATATATTAATTATTATATATAAAAAATTAAAATATATAATTCTAGTATTTTTATAATTTATATAAAATTGATTTATTATTTTCACATCTTTATTATATACTAATTCTATTCTTTATATTAAATTTTTTTAAATTAGTAAAATAATAATACTTTTAAACTTATTAATATTAATAAAAAAAAATTGAAATAATTATAATAGAATATATAAATAAAAGAAAAAATTTTCTAATTAATATAATTTTTAACTTTTCTTTAACTATTCTTAATTGCATTAAATATATTTATAAGTGAATTATTTAAATTATATAAAAATTACTTAAAGTAAAATTAATAGATTCATAATATGATATTATTTGTATATTTATTATAAAAATATTAATATTAAATGTAAGTATGTAAGATTCTTTAGATAAATAAAAATATTATCAAAATATTTGGTAGCATTTGGTTATTTAATAATTAAAATTGGCTATTAATTTAAACTATTACAACATTTATAAAAATAAAGATAAATTCTGTTCAATATATCAGATATAATATATAAAAAGGTAAAAGAATATTTTAACTGAATAGTAATATGTTAAAATCAATATATCTATTATAAATAATTTCTGTTATATATAGATATATTATAAATCTAAGAATATGTATTTTTAATTTTACAATCCATTAATACTTGAGTAACAATTTATAATTTAAATTCTATCAAGTATTACAAAAAAATTAATGATATTTTATAACAATTTATTTTGAAGTATTATTATTCTATCATTAAGAATTATATTACTATATTAATATAAACTTCTGATTCATCTATAAGAGCATTTTAGTTTTGTGATTTCAATTATAATAAGTTATTCAGTACAGATCATTTGTAAAACTGTGATATAATTATTATTTATTTTAGTTTTAGCATGCAAAAACTTATTAATCACCTTATAAAAGTCTTCTTTTTGTTATATTTTACTTTTAATATACGGTTATGAATATTTGCTCAGAATGATATAAAATAGGATTCAAATTATGTCTAAACTGACACGCTGGTTTTTTCTGGTAAGGAAAGTTAACCTAAATTTATTTATAAAGTCAAGAAATTTACTGTACTACCAGAAATATTATCTTCTTTCGAGAAATCTTTAATAACATTATCAGGCTAGCATATTTTTGATACACACCGTATGAAATGTACGAGTTATTAAATTCTAACCGTTCGCCAACTTTTGCATACTTTCAAGATTAAAAGTAACACTTCTATTGTAATTTGACCAGAATTGAGAAAGGATGACTATGTCCCGATTGTATTCATTTATTTCCTGTAAAATAAATTGAATTATTTATTAAAAGGAAGAATAGATATTACGAAAAAATTTCATAACATACTTGGATTCGGTTATTCATATCTTCCAACACATCATTAAGTTTTTCCTTTTTTCAGATTTAAAAATTAAATTTATAAGTTAATTGGTTAAAACCTTCGCTTAAGAGATATATATACTTACGACGTTTTTAACAATTCTACTTAATAACATTCTTTGTTGTTCTTCGTGAGGGTTTTCCATATTTTCTTTAAAAAGCGACAGGGTGATCTGAAACGCGTAACAATGTCCACTCAAAACCCATACGTTCAAGTTTCACAAACTAAATAGTATAAGCCACCCAAATTTTTTTGATATAAATACACGGAAAAAATGCCTGTTTGCTATTTTTGTTCAAAGGATATCAGAGACAAAAGTTATGGACGAAATGAAGAAAACTTATCACCCTTCACAGGATTTCCGGAAAAGTCGAGAAATTATCTCTGAATCCAAGTACGATTAATATTATTAATATTTTTTAAATTTATTGATATATTAATAATATGTTGAATATGTTTATTAAGGATATTTGAGCATGGAAAGCCTTCCAATTATACATTTGAGAATGAAACTTATGACATTCCCTCGGATGCTTCCCACTCTCAGAAGTTTGAAAATTCTCGTATTACTTCCCCAGATATCAAAGTCGAGAAATTTATTAAAATTGAAAAATCAGATGTTTCTCTAGATACGCAAATGGATATCGATGATACCTTTCCATCGGATGTATGTTATTCAATTTCGATTATACTTAATATTAAGTTTATATATATTTTTTATCAATAACAAGTAATCTACATTAAATATTTTTGACAGGCTAAAGGAGACGATATGATGAACATTGATACTGTTCCTCCGCCATCTAATCAACCAGCCATCCCAAATGAGCACGAGGTTTAAATTTATTACATATATATGCTAATTCATTTTACGGATTAATTCAATTCGTTAAATTTTATAGCTCAATATGGAAGATTTGACTTCCGAAAAATTACAAGTTAGAATTCATGTAAATATTAATGTTCTCAATGATTTCTTAATAATATTTAAGTGATCTACATTGACCTCACTTTGTCATAGGTATTACGTCGATTTACAAAATTATTTCCATACATGCATGATTCAAAAAAGGAAAGTTTATATGATGATCTTAGAAATTTATTAGATACTGAGTATGATAAAGATGTTAAGGTTAGTAAATGGTTATGAGAGTTTTATTATTATTAACAATTAACAATATCTTTAATTGATTATCCATGTATTAATAGATTCTTGTAATAATACTTTTGGGTAAATTGGCCCTTGATCCGATTGTTAATTGTGGAAAAGTACTTGAGGATTTTATTAATCAGGTATTTAAATAAAATTTTTTTTTCAAATCATATATACATATTTATTTTATTAATAATTTATAGATGCAATCAAATTCTACCGAACTGAAATGTAAAATATATGACACAATTATTAGAATTTTGCAGGTACGTAACGTATTAGCATATTACATTCTGCATTAAAGTTGAAATTTAACTTTATTTTATTTAAAGGCAAGGATTGAAAATGTCCTACAAATGCCAAAATTAAATAACGCGTTGAAATTTCTGTGTGCGCGGGTGATTAATGAGCTAACCGATTCACATTACAGTATTAGATCATCTTGCATTAGTTTACTCGCATCTATAGCACCTATAATTATTCGTGTTAAATTGATGCAAGAGCATAGTAAAGAACAAGAGTATCTAAATGAATCACAGATTCAAACTATAATTCGTGACTTTGGAGAAGATCCCGATCCACGTGTTCGAAGTGTAAATATCATTATCAATTTTATTTCGATTTTTTTTTTTTTTAAACTTACGATTTCTTTATAATAGAGTGCTCTCAAAGCACTTCTTCAGCTTTATAATTGTGGCTATAAACTAGATATGTCATTGTATAAATTATGTGTTGCATGCTTGACGGATGACTACGAAGAAGTTCGGATTGAGGCTTTAAGCTTGATTTGGTAACATGCTTTCGTATGAAGGTTTTAGTTTATTTACCTCTTAAAATCTTTTGTTAATCATCCAAATGTTTTTAGGGTATTAAGTAGCATTCATCATGAAAGAAAATTAAATGATGGGAGCACGCGTCTTATCGATGATGCATTTATTAAAATTTGTGATATGGTATGTGATGAATCTGTAAAGGTTCGAAGTAAGGTGAGATAAAATATCGGCAATAATCCAATATAATCAAGTTAGTAGTTGGGGAATTAACATTCAGTATTGAAAATAATGGTTCTTTACAGAATTTGCTCAATCAAGTTGGGCTCTTATTTCAAACAGGCGTGTAATATAATGGGACGTTATAAACTCGTTGAAGACCCGATTTTACTATCAACTTTGAGCCAACAAGTTATATCACACGGAAAACCTCGTAAGCCAATGTTTAAAAAAGTAGGTTTTGAACTTTTTATTATAAAATTCTGTATATAATATGATAAAGAAAAATCAATTTTCTAACATGTTTAACTTTTTTCGATCAAAAAGTCTAGGTATATTCCAACTCCTGAAGGTGATATCGATGTCGAATCAGCCGAAGTTCGACTTTTGAAATCAAGTGCGAATGGAGCATTTATTCATGGATTAGAAGATTCTTTTCAAGACGTTCGTAATGCTGCGATAGGTATTCATAGTTAGTTTATTATTCTTTTATTAGTACAATATGGATATCAATTTTTTTCCTTTTTATTATAGATTCCATTTGCGAATTAAGTATGCATAATCAAAAATTTTCAAAAAGGGCCGTGGAATTCCTTGTAGGTAAATAGTCGCAATTTTTTTATTAAAATATGTTTTTATTTCGATATAAATTGTTTAAAAACTTCTTTACATAGACATGTTTCAAGATGAAATTGATTTTGTACGGCTGAATTCAATTATCAGTCTTCGCAAAATTGGTACCCTTCAGCCTATCGAATTGGATTCCGAATTGTTGCAAATTACACTAAGTGTACTTAATGATGCAGACCCTATTGTACGAGAATCAGCGCATGGAATGTTAGGGTAATTAATAAAATTATCTCTTTTGGAAATTTTATAATAGATTATGCCAAGGTCTTTAATAGCTTTTCTCTCCTATATTAAGTGTTGTACGAATTACCTCGCCAGAATTAATACCGTCATTCATTAAAGATTTAATGGCAAGTATGTCCCGGTATCCGGAAGATCAATTGTCGATCTATCAATGTTTCCGTGATTTTGGTTCTGTTCATGGGGAATATATAGGCAAGACTATTTTACATTTAATCACATTTTACATTTTTATTTGTCATTATCATTTCGTTTCTAACCTTTATAATGGGGTTCTCTTTTCTTCACAATTTAGAGAAGTTTATTCCTAAATTTTTCAAGATGGAATCAAGTTATATTTCAAAGGAAATTAATCAGAATGCACCTGAACGTATGTTGAATATTAAAATAACTTCATTACAAAAATTTTTTTATAAAATGGTAAAAATTTATTTAATTGTTTATTAGATATAGGAAATTTAATACTTGCATTTAATGCTTCGGTCTCAAATCCGAAGATATTATCCATCTTACCTAAATATGCGTTTAGACATTATGAGTATCTTAGAGACAAATTTCCCAATTGTTTTCCAGAAGTGAAGGTCTGTATCGGTTCTTAGTTTCATCATTTCAAATTAATAAATTTTTGTTATATATTTAATATATATATATATATATTGTTTAGATTCCGGGTGATGCACCACGGCAAAGTATTCGGGTCAATGCAGATGGTAGGAGTTGTATTTATAGAATTATTTTATTTTTATAAACAAATATTTAGTCATGAAAAATTTGATAGATAATACCCAATCATTTATGAATCAAACCATAACGATGGTGTTTTCTATGGGGAACCTTTTCAAAACTGGTGATTTCAAGGCTGCATTGCGCGTTATAAAAGTTTGTACAAAGTATGTTAATATGCTGAACATATGTAACTCCTTTTATCTTATCTTGTTGTCTTACTTATTTATTATGATTTATTTCCTAGTAACTTAAAATATATATCACGTGTACCATCGCTTTCTGGTAATGCGATATTTATTACCATGTATTTAGATTGTGTGCAAACGATAATACAGGTATATATAATTTTTTTCAGGTAAATTAATTTTTTTTTTTTTTTAAAATGAAGAATATTTATAAATATTATGATCATTTCAGGCTAAACAAAGTTACTTTGAAGCAAATTCCTTTACAACTGCACAAGATATAGCAGCGCGATTGTTAGCATTTTCTTACATTATGGAACATAGGTTTATCGGACTTTCGATTCCGTCAAAAACTTTTGTTGTCTATTTGAGAGTGCTAGCAAATATTGCATGGATATTTGGTTGTTTAACGGAGGCTAATAATAGGTTGGTTGGTTAATTTTTTTATTTTTTTTTTTAATGTATTTATTTATATTCATATATAATTTACTATTTTCATAGTCAAGGGTTATCATTGTTGAGTAAGAAAGGCCTTTTACAATTCTTTATTAAGCGAGTGTCAGATTTGCAAAGGTATAATATAAAAATTATGTGCTCTTTTGTAAAGAGAATTGTAATTATTGAATTCAACTTTATATTCTTAGAAAATTTGAACGTGACTCTTTTCTCTTAAAAGACCTGGAAAAACTTCAAAAAAAGCTAGTTAAAGCCAGCTTATCTCCTACAATTGAAAATGTAATATCATTGTTTGATTTTATAATGGTAAATGAATTTCTAATATATATCTCTATTTGCATTGAAGTATTATAATTTATTTACCTTAAATAAAAAAATATATTGGTCCAACATAATATAGGATTACAATCTTATTGATATTGAATTAAGTGATGATATTAAAAGATCTGAGGCCACTATCATTAGACCAGTTTCAAATCCGGATCTGCCACTTGAATTTCCATCAGAGTTTCCTTTCACAATCTTTATTGAAGCCGAATTACGGAATGTGGTAGATGCAACTTCTACTGCAGTTCAGGTCAGCGAGTTTATTATCCTTTGGTTTCAATCTTTAAAGATTATTAAATTTAACTATTATCATTGTTTATTAATACGATAGGTCATATTTCCCGATCAGATAATTGAGCATTTTAGACCACCATCGGCAGATTTCGTTCATACCGAACCGGATAAACTACATTTGAGAACGCAAATTGACATTTCTCAACCCGCATGGTCCGGTAATATAAAAATTTAAATTAATTTCATTTTTCTTATATTTATATTTAAAACGCGCTTAATCTTGTTCATCTTTATTATTATTTATTATATACAACAGAGTCATGTTTTATTCAACTTAATATAGTGCGTGATTTTGAACCGGACATTCCTGAATTGGATCAACATATAATGCGTCAGAGTATTAATAATGGAAATATTAATGGAAGTATCTCTGAAAATACCATAGATCTTTCAGAACCAGTCAAATATTACATATGGCCAAGAGATTCATCATCCAAACGAATACGTTAAATATTTTAGAATTTTTTATATAGACCCTTTAATATTGTGTAAGAATATTTTCGTTTGCTATTGTACAAGATATGTAAATGTTTGGTTTTGAAATTTTTTTTTTCATTAATTTCATCAAGTGTTTGTTAGCTTATCAAAATTGAATTCGTTTAAATAAAGATGTTATTTATTTACGTAAACAAATTTTCGTGTTTGAGGTATCAAAAGTCACCGGGCACTTAAAAATTAGAAAATCGACGAAAGTAGCTATTTCAAATTAAACTTTTTATTTTATTAATTAAATCATTCTTTGGTGCAATAAGTTAAGTTGTGCATCATAATGAAATACACATATTAATATTTTTATAAATATTCAATCAGTAACAAATTTTATATTCAGTATTTTAAGTGACATTTTCGTGTATTAATAAAAGTTTTCAGTTATAATTTAACATAGTATGGTGGCTATCATCTATAAACCATTACTAATATTGTGTAACTCTAAAATTTATAAGTAGAGAATAAAGTAATAAAGTATAAATTCAAACTGATAAAATGATAAAGTAAAATAAGCTGAACATTTTTATCGGTTTATTTTTTAATATATTTTCATAGATTACATCTCAATTTCCTGAATGCCATTTTCTGAATAGATGATTTCCTAAAAATCTTGGGTAGAGTTATTATAATGCAGGCTAAAATTTTCGGGAAAATGTTTTTTGGAAAAATGGAATAACATCTGACATCAATTTTCATATGATTAATGTATGATAAATGTATTTTCATTTTTCTCATACGTTTGATCATAACCCGCCTATTGAAAAGAAAATTAATACAAAAGAACAAGAACAAGAAAGTAACAGAAGGTTTATTAAAAAAGTACAGATCATTAATAATTAGGAAGATAATAAATATAGTAATTAGAATGATTATAATAATAGTTAGGATAATCATAATAATAATTATGATGATTACAATAATAATTAGGATAATGAGTTTGTCAAATGAAAAAAAAGTTGGAGTTAGTTAATCAAATGATACACATTTAAAAAAAAAGTATAAATCTTACTTTACTAAAAAAATCAAGAAATCAACTTATTTTGATAAATATAAGCCAAGTGACTTTTTTACAAAAGTTACAAAAGAATCACAAAATTAACATTTTTAATAAAAATTAGTTCTAAATGATTTTGACGAGATTTTAGATAAATTAGAAAATAAACAAGATAATCAACTTAATTTAAATGAAAAAATTATAATTAAAAAAGAAACTTAAAGAATAGCAACAATTATAAACAATAATTAAATCTAATAAAAAAGAGCTATTTTTGAGTATTTAAACAGATTGGATAATAATAGGAAGGAAAAGCAAACAGCTAATATTAAACTATATATCTGATTTTTATTAAAAGTATGCTATATAGAGTAAGAATTATCTAATATTAGGCTAATTATTAGTTTCAACATAATCATCTTCTAATAAGTCATTAAAGTAAGTATCAAAAAATAATATGATTAATTAATAATAAAAACATAGTGAAAAAATGCAATATATAGATCTGATCTTAAAGTGAAATAATCACTTTGTTAAAGTTCAAAAAATTTGTTAAATAAAACCTATTTATTGATTTAGAAATAATAAAAAAAAATCATAGACATAATAACTGCTACATACTAGCTTAATATATTTTAATATTTTTTTTATAGAAATAAGATAAGATAAATTAATATTAAATAATAAAAATTTTAATAAACTAATTAATTAATTTACATTATTTTAAAGTAAATATATATATTATGGTAATCATGAATATTTTAATATTATAAGATATGAACAAAGTTTTCTAAATGAAACTTATGATTACAAAAAAAGTATAATGAAATATGAAGATAAATTATGAAACAGATCCACTAAAATTAAGACCTAGTATAAAGAAGTAATTCTGATAATATATGATGAATGTGTATTCTACTCTAATGATAGAACCTGAAATATATAGGTAAAATTCAAAGAATTACCATTACATAAGAAAGGAAATGAATATTCTATTATGGTTAGTGAATTCTTTATAAAAGAATATGATTAACTTAAATTGAACTTATTAAAATATTAAGAAAATCCTTCTATACCTAAAAAAGCTTAATATATCTTCAATTAGAAAAAATTCAGAAAAAATATTAAATAAATGAACATTTAATCAAATAAATTGAAAACAAAGATTATATCAATTTTTAAATCAATTTTTTCAAACTGTATTACTTTATTTATGTTTGATTACAGTTTAAACTATGTAGCATATAGATCTGATACATTTATGATAAATAAGATGAATCTAAAACCTAAAAGCAGATAACTGAAGAGAAGAGACTCATTTTTTAGATAAAATAATTAGTATCAATCAATAGTTAATGAAAATAATAAATTAAAAGAAATAAAATAAGTATTAATCAAGTATAGATTATGAAAAAATAGGTTTAATACTAATTATCAATTATTTAAGAATAAGGTAGATAACATAAATCAGTCAGACTGTTGTACAAGAAGAATTATTTCATTACAGTCTGATTTTCTATCCCAAAAAAGTATCTTAAAAGAAGTAATATTAGAGATTAAACATAAGTGTATCTTTTATCTGAAATTTCATTGTAAACTGAATCATATTAAATGATATTAGAGCCAGTCTGTAAAATTCATATGCACAAAGTGCACATATGCATATTAAATTTTTGTGTACACATATTACATAGCATAAAATGTGCATAAATAATTACTAAAAATAGATAAATTATATATAAAAATGGATAAATTATTTATAAAAATTTTTTTTTTTTTTTTTTT